TGGACGAAAGGCGCAAACGCTCAGAAAAATCTGCGTTTTCAAAGATCCCGGTGTACGTGTGGGCGTGGCCTTACTCAGCTGTGATGCTGCGAACGTGTTCACTGAATAAAATGAAGTAACCGATCGAGGCAGCAGTGGAAGAGCAACCCTGATATTCGGTTTCTTGTGTTTAAAAAATGCTCAGTTACAGCGCACGTTTAAACAGATGATCTTTGTAGCTGGGAGAAACCTCCTCTCAGCAAGAAGGTCCTGGGTTTGAGTCCATGTCTGATTCTCTCCTGGTACCCCGACATCCTCCCACAGTTTAACTGCTTCTTGCCTAATAACAGCTGGGATAGGGTTACACACACACACACACAGTCCTGCTTTCATATCTCCGTGGGGACATCTAATTGATGTAATGCTTTACCTAACATCTAACCCCAACCCTAAAAACTGAATTCCTCACCCTAACCCTCAGCCCTAAACCTAACCATAACCTGATTGTACCCCTGACACTAAAACACCATGTTTAGTACAATACAATACAATTTTATTTATATAGCACATTTAAAAACCCGAAGGCACACCAAAGTGCTTCACAGTAATATGGAGAGTCAACATAAGTCAATAACAGGGTACAAATCGGGCACAAGCACAGAGGCACTAAGAGACCAGGAGAGTAAATAAATACAAAATATGCTAAGAAGACAAAAACAGCAGTAAAATTAATAAAAAATAATAAATTTAATAAAATCTAATTAGATTTAAGAGATTTAAAAGTTTAAAAATTAAAAGATTTAAAAGGGTATTAACTAGTTGGGAAAGCCAAGTCAAATAGATCTGCTTTTAATCTTGATTTAAAGGACTGGATAGAGTCCGAAGCTCGAATAGAAGCTGGGAGGCTTCCAAAGGTCGGGTGCAGCTGAAGCAAAGGGTCGCCTCTGGTCTTCAGTCTAAACTTAGGTTGGGCCAGGAGTAACTGACCTGATGATCTTAATGCACGACAAGGAGTGTACAGGTGAGGAGGTCAGTGAGGTAGCTGGGCGCAATGTTATTCAGGATTTTAAAAGTGAGCAGCAAGATTTTAAACTCAATGCGATATTTGATTGGTAACCAGTGTCAACAAGAGCCGGAGTAATAGGGTCAGATTTTCTAGTTCCAGTAAGAAGGCGAGCCGCAGCTTTTTGAACGAGCTGCAGCCTTCGTAGAGAGGAGGCTTGGAGACCACAGTAGAGAGAATTACAGTAATCTAACCTGGAGGTCACAAAAGCGTGGATACGTTTTTCCAGCTCCCTGTGTGGTGTATAATGCTTAGCTTTAGAAATCTGCCGCAGTTGAAAAAAACAGATTTAACTACAGATGATACTTGCTTATCGAGCTTAAAGGAGCTATCCAAATAGACACCCAGGTTACACATAGAATGAGAGAGAGTTAGCTCGGGGCCCCAGCAGGGCAACAAGCTGGTCTCGAGGAATATGGCTGTCAAACATCATAACTTCAGTTTTTTTTCTCATTTAAAACGAGAGAATTTTCTGACAGCCAATCTTTAACCTCAGGCAATCGTACAGGCAGTTCAGTGATGCTGACAAATCATCAGTCAGTTGACAATCGATTTGTCTCAAAAACGGCTTCACACTGGGGACGCTCGTTTTGTCCACACAAGTAGTCACATCCCAGTTTCTGTAAACACAAACACGACCCTGAACTGAAAAGATGGATGGATGTGTGAAATCCATATTGCTGCTTGTTCACAGCAGGACTTTGTTTAGCTTCTGTTCCAGTATTCCTGATTTGGCTTCTCCAAACCGCAGCCTGCTGTTACCATCAGCTGTGGGAAGTCTACAAGCTCATGACAAAATATCCAAACTAAGACTTTAATGTAGAAGAGCTGCTTTTAGTGTTCATCTGTTTAATCTTCACGATTTCTTCATCTTTTATTCGTAATCTGTTTTTCCCTTGCCTGTAAAAATCAAGCCTGTGCACGCTTACGCTTCATTTTTCACGTTACGTACAATCATGCACAAGATGTCTCGCAGGCATTTAGAAAACGTCCTCTTCCTTGATAACTGTCTGCTGGAACGAGCGCCGGCGCCTCTGGGGGCCGCTGGCAGGACTTTCAAACACATCAGTGATGTTTGCTGTGATGGCGTCACGTCGTTTGTTTGCGTGTGTTTAATCTAATGTGTGTGTTTGTTTCAGGTCCCTGCTGAGCCCAGCGCTGTCAAACACTCTACAGCATCAGAACAAGGTAACACGCGCACACATGCACGTACACATTGTGCGCCTTCACAAGCCCCTCACGGGCCAAACTAAATGAGTAACTGTAACCTGAACCCTCAAACGGTCCTTTGAAGCTCCGCCCCAAAGTGAGTGAGGACCAAAACGTCCTCACGTCCAAGGTTGGTCCTCACAAAGACGCCGCTGTGCACTCAGACGCACTCAGGACCAATTAGTTGTTGGTGTGTGATGAATTCGTCACTGTGTGCGTCCTGCGGCCAGGCTGCTACAGCTGGTCAGACGCAGCATCCGTCACGAGAACCGACAAATAACCGAGTTTCTCAGCCGTAACCATGGTTACATTTGGGTGCATTTTATTTGAAAAAGCTTTCACGTGGCCGGCAGCGTCGTGATGCGCTGTTGTGTGCGAGTCTGTTTCAGCGCTCTGCTGGTTTTCATGTTTTAATGCGTCTGTCAGAGCAGCCAGAGGTCAAAAGGTCAAGCTGTGCTGCAGCTAACCCGCTAACTGATTAGTTCAGCCCGCTGCTGGCAACAAGGCTGACTGCGGGAGACACACACACACACACACACACACACACACACACACACGCTCTGCCAAATGATGCCAGAGGCCCAGTAGGCTGCAGCATGCCATTACTCTCTCGGTGGATCTTGTTTCTGAGGCGCCTCAGTGGCTCCGTCCCTGCAAAGCTGGAAACACTCCCATTCTTCTTCTTTACCTTCCTCCCAAAGTTGTTTTTTTTTAATGTTTCTGCTGTTTTATCAAAGCTATATTATCCATCTTTCAGTGCAAAACTCAAATCTTTATTAGCATGCACAGAGATGTCCTGAAACGTTGGAAGAAGCAGGTCTGGACATTTGCCAGAGGTGTTCTTGCTGGCAGGAAGCACACAGCAGGAGATGGTCTGCGACAAACGTGGTCTCACTGCTGGAAATACTCCATCTGGTTTGGGCGAGAGAGCCTCGCTGCCTAAGATGATTAGCTGGAGAGAGGAATCCAGTGAAAGGCGTAAAGCAGGTTAAACAGCAGAAAGCAAAGCTGTTGTTGGAAGATTAAAAACAAAATCTCAAAATTAAAGCAAAACTGAAATTCAAAAAAAGGTTCACAGCATGAAAAACACGTGGATTATTCAAAACGTCTGCAGAGTTAAACATTAAAGACGTCAGCCCGATGTTTGGGTCACAGATCAGTCCACTGAAGCTGGATCGGATAGTCGACGTAACGGCAGCGTAACGTGCTGCTGACACAGCAAGTTTATGCAAATAGCACGTTTTGGACGCTACAGTCATTAAACCCCCAGAGAAGGAAAAAGGATAAGATAACTTTATTGTCATTGCACAGTCATACATGTACAAACAGTACAATGAAACTGGAGAACTGTCCCACATCAGCACCTGCAACACAACACAGTAACTTAACTTAAGTAATACAAAGAAGAACAAGTATGTTTATTGCACCTTGTTATAAATATTAATATTAATATTGTTCTTGTTGTTACACCCCAAACAAGTCCAGGGAGGCCAATCAGGTCAGCTGTTAGCACTGATTAGAGCTGACAGAAATAACAGGAACAATAATAAATAATTAGTTACAACAAAAGTAACGACAGTTA